ATGAAATGACAGATTTTATAAACTCCGAAAAAAAGATCAATGTACAAAAGGCATAAGTCATTACAATCCAAGATCAAATCTAAAAAATCTGAAGAAGCACCGGCTTCTTAAATATGGAACAAAGATAGGTAGAGCTCACGACATAGACAACGCAGAGGTCCCGTACTGAGCCTTACCCTATCTCCCGCAATCTAAAAATAGCAAACCACTGCACCCCCATCGGGACCTAGCATGCTATCAAAATCTATCCCCTGAAAAAAAGAATAAGTGTACACAAACAAAACCAAAAGCTACAACAAACCAAGCTTAAAAAGATCATCAGAACAAAAGAAAAATGAAAGCAGCACTCCTAGCAATACAGAAGATCATCAGCAGACTTGAACCCCAAATCTTATTGATTGGACGCACCTAGTCTGCTAAGGCTAATCTAACAGTATTCGCTTCTGATCTGTGGACTTGCTGAAAACCCATAGGTTTCTCGTTTTCCACATCCACCAAAGGAGATAGCAGCTGAGCTGAACTCTATCCTCAGTGAATGTGGGCTTATTAATGCTACAAATTTGGATCCACCAGTACTTGAATGAGTCAGTGTGATGCTGCAGTCCTTCCCAGGAAATTGGAGCGAGCTTCCAGATAAGCTTAGCTCGGTTGCAATGGAAGAATATATGTTTCTGATTTTCCACATATTCCCCATAGAACTTACACCTTTGATCCAAGAGTATTCCTCTATGATGCAGATTCACCAAGAAAGGTAGGATATTGTTGATTCCTTTCCAAAGGAAGTGCCTCAGTTTCCTTTTGGTTTTCAGACTCCAGGTTCTTTTCCTAGCAACCTTCAACTCTTTGTGATTGCTACTTGAGCCTGAAATGTCAAGCTCTTTCCAGCTTTCCTCCACCAGTCTCCTATAGGCAGATGCCACTGTGAATTTGCCATTTGAGTTCCAACTCCAAGAAGGTTTGTCAGGTTTGGTAGGTTCCATATCTCTGATACTCAAGATGGTTGTTGTTTCAATCAAACTATGTGAACAACCTTGGGTCCCATAGTTTGATTGAGCTGCCATCCCCAATTTTCCAAGACATGCCTCTGAAGAAATCCTCCTTGACTTTTCACCAACTTGTCCAGAGCCCTGAGCTATTCTATTTTTTTTTTTAGCTGTGAAGAGGCAGTCATTTGGAAAATACCCTGCCCTTCAAAATTTTACTGACTAACAACTCAGGCTTTGACTGTATTCTCCACAGCTGTTATAGAATTAATGACTTGTTGAAGACGTGTAAATCATAGAAACCTATACCCCCCTCATTTGAGTTGGCAAGGCAGTCATTTTACAGGTATTCAATGTATGCTTTTGTTTCCTCCTTCCCAGTATCCCACCAGAAGTTGGCCATGTGAGAAGATATCTTCTTAGTCACTGATTGTAGCAGTAAAAAACAGGACATGGCGTATGTTGGTAGTGCTCCTATGACAGCTTTCAACAACACCTCTTTACCTGTAAGGGAAAGATACTTGTTTTTCCAATTTGATATTCTTTTACTCACAGCCTCCTCAACATAAGAAAAAGTGTTATTTTTGGAGGTACCAATACCCAGTGATAATCCTAAATATTTAGAGGTGGACTGAGGAGTAATTCCCATAAGGATATTGCATATATGGTCTTTGAGGGCTTGGTGTGAGTTTTTGCTGAAAAAGATGGAAGATTTTTGGAGTTTGATCTTTTGTCTTGTCAAGGAGGAGTAAGTGTGCAGAGTATTCAAAAGAGTGTGGAATTGTTGGGCATCTTCCTTAGAAAATAAGAGGGTATCATCTGCAAAAAGAGGTGGGTTAGGGGTGGACAGTGTTTACTTAGTTTAATTCCTTGAAGGTGGCCTCTGTTCACTTCAATCTTTATCAGGTGGAAGAAAATCTCTGTGATCAAGATGAACAGGTAAGGTGATAGGGGATCACCCTACCTTATTCCTCTTGTTGGCTCTATGTAACTTGTAGCTTCACCATTAAGATTAAAGAAAAAGGATAGAAAATATTACATTGCATAATCCAATTCACAAACAAGGAGTTAAATCCCAATTTTAGCATGATAACTCTAACACTGTCCCATTCAACACAATCAAAGGCTTTGCACATGTCTAATTTAATATCCATAAAGCAATGTCTGCATGTTCTATGATTCATCAGAAAGTGGATCACCTCATTGGCAATTATGACATTATCCAGAATTTGCCTTTCTTCCACAAGGGCAAATTGGCTCACACTGATACAGGAAGGTAAGCAAGGTTTAAGCCTGTTTGCTAGGATTTTGGAAATCACCTTATAAACCACATTGCAAAGGCTAATTGGTCTGAATTAGGCTACTTTAGTTGGATGAGGACATTTAGGAATGAGAGTTATTAATGAATGGTTAAGACTTTTCAGAATTTGGCTAGAAGCAAAAAAGCTAAAAACAGCTTCACATAAGTCATACTGAATAACATTCCGAAATGACTGAAAAAAGAGAGCATTCATACCATTAGGCCAAGGAGCCTTAGAAGGATTGATGTTGAACAGGGCTGCTTTGATCTCTTCAATGCTCACTTGTGCAATCAATTCCAAGTTCCTCTCTGCAGTGATGACCTCCTCAATGCCAACGAGATGGTTGTCCTCTGTGATTGTGCCAGTGGAAGTGAACAATAGAGAGAAAAACTCCTCAATGCATCTGGCAATTTCATCCTTGTATTCATAGATGTCATCTTTCTCACTAATCAGCCTGAGAATCTTATTCTTTCTCCTTCTTTGCATGGTTTGTGCATGAAAAAACTTTGAATTCCTATCCCCATACTTGAGCCATGTGATCCTGGATTTTTTCTTCGAGAATTGTTCCTCCATTTTATATGCTGCATTGAGTTCTTTTGTGAGCTGATCCAAAGTCTTCCAATCTCTCAATCCTCCCTGATCTCTCAACTGCTCCAGTTGCATATACAACACTTCAATCTTTTTTGCATTATCAGATGTGAGAGTGAATTTCCATTTCAGTAATTCAATTCTTGTGGTTGTTATCTTTGATTTGAGATAGAACATTTGAGTGCCCATTTGGTCCTGATCCCAAGCTTTAGTCACAACTTCTTGAATTCCTTGCTTATCCACCCACCTTTTGTCAAACTGAAACCTTCTTCTTTGGTGTTGGGCCTCTGGCTGGCTGATGAGCATTAACAGACTGTGATCTGAGGCACTTTTAAATAAGTTGTTGACTTGAGCTGCTGCATATTTCGAGTGCCATTCATATGAGCCAACCATCTGTCTAGTTTCTCTTCGATGAACCCTTCTGCTGATCTGTTATTGCCTGAAGTAAATTGGTATACATGCCATCCCTGTAACGCCCCACTTTTATTTGCCGAAAATCAGAATAAATTTTTCAAAATTTAATTCAAACATTTAAGGCGTTACTCATCTATTTCAAAATCATTTCAACATTTACCAATCATCAAACTCCCAAACAGGGATCCAACCATCATCATGGTACTTAAGGAGCATTCTTCTTAATATTTTTCCAATCAGCAATAATATCCAAAATTTCTTAAATCCATAAATCATAAATTCCATAATATCCCAAGTTCATAAATCATGATATATGTCATAAAATTCATAAGTGGTACAAATAACGGAAGCATAACAATAATTAACCGGTCTTATGGACCGACCACCACTCGCTCTACTCCGCCGTCGTACCTTCCTTGCTTAACCTGAAACGTGAATTTCATGTGGGGATGAGCACAGTTGGATAAAGTAGTGCTCACCACTCTGCAATAAACATTTACATAACAAAACAGTAATAGAGGTAGCATGATCACAACATGTACAAGAATCAATTAAGTATCCCAGGTTTCATCATAATTTCACAGTGTTCAGACTCATGTGCACATCTATACCAATAGACTACTGCTGGTCCACGTATCGTATGCCTGCATAGGTCTTACGTATTGTATGCCTGCTTAGGCCTTACGGATCATATGCTTGCTTAGGCCTTATGACACTACGTTTATGCCCCTCGGGCTTATACACCGAATGCCCCTTGGGCTTCTATCAGTGCCCAATCAGTAGAAGTAACCCCTCGGGTTTTCATTTCATAAATACGGGACAACCGTTCGACGTCCGGTTCAACTCACATCGAAGGCTACATGATTCCTAAGAACACATTGATCATATACGAGTAAAGTAAACAATTTATTGCATAGACAATTTTTAAATAAAACCCATCTGGTTGCGAATTGGAGATAAGACGAAAGCACGAATAGGCTGCGAGCTTGGCTCGTCAAACACCAACATTAAGTCAAGATGCTATAATCAACATCTATTCCGACTTAAAGGGAAATCACAATTATTCTTAGCCGAACTTGATTCGACTAAGTTGTTCGTGAAGTCCTGTGGACGTTGGAACACTTTGACTCGACACTAAGACTGAACCAAATACACATGGGAGTTCACATAATCCAACACAAACATTGACCAAATCAACCACCTAAAGAAACGGAAAACGAGCCAATTTACCGCTTTAAATTGCAAAAACCATATATTTAAAAATACTAGATTTAAATCACAAAAATGTGTTGATCAGGTTATCATACGAATTTAACTCTGAAACTTTAACCAAAATTTCACCTCCCAGAGTTAAGCAAAACCACAAAATTTTAGCCCCAAACTCAAAGCATGTTATTTTATAAAATTCGAGCAAGTTTATGGCAAAAACAAGCATAAATTGACAACCAGACCAAATGAATGAATTAAGCCATGAAAATTTTACACAAGCAGTAACAGCATGAGAAGAGTAACATATAAAATTTTCAGAAAGTAACATCAAGTATCCGAATTTTAAAAACTAAAACTAGTTTCTGCTGATTTCGAGTTTTCAATAAGACCGAACCAAAATTAATTCAAATAAATACCATCTTTTTGTATACTGAAACTCACCACAAAATGGACCTAGTCATAATTGTTGAGCAATTTAGCACAACAGATCAATTTATTATAATTAAATTACGAAACTGCAGAATACAACAAATAATTTTTACACATAGAAAATGAAGCCCAAAAATTTCAAATATTTTAAAAGACCTATAAAACATACATGAAGATGACATACTCAAATTCCATAAGTTTTGGAGCACAACTCAATTTAATAGGAAGTTAACAAGATTCTTCTTAGAATTTCATACAATTATTAAAAATAGCTATACTTAACATTTTAATATGAAATTTTTACACAACCTGTATTATCAGCAAGGGGACTATCATACAAAATTTCACGGAAATACGAGCAGCATACAATTTATCATAATTTATATACTAAAACAGTGACAATACAAGTTCATTAATTCATAACCGACTCGTTTTACGACGAATTCGTCCGAAGTCTTCACCATAAGACTAAGGACGAAATAACGTTCCAATCCACAGTGACTAATTCACGAGTTGACGATGTCTCGTTCGATTTATCAAAATCGAAAAGGCTCGTCAACGCACAATTACATATTCGACACATAAATTCATAGGCATCAATACACATGTATTATCGAATGCGTTCAATCACAACAAATAATCACAACATAAATGACACTATAATTTAACGTGATGGGGTTCGAGCCTTGTACCGTTCTCGGGATTTGTTCGAAAAACGGAACGAGAGACGAGAGTCGACAGGCTCGAACGGCGGTCTGAGTTCACGAAAACCGAGATGCTGCGATGCGTGGATGACGCTGCTGAGGTGCTCGTCGTCGGGGTCTCGTTGCGGCGGAGCAGTCGTCGAGTTGCGGGGCTCGCCGGGAAGCTTACGAGGGTGCAGCGCCGTGAACGGAACTCGCCGGAATTCGCGAGGTTGCTGCGGTGGTGGCTTGTGGAGGAGCAGCGGCGGTCGTCTGTGCGTGAGGAAGAACTCGCCGGTGAAGTGGAGTGATCGTGGGGTCGCTGCTCGTGACGACGGGGTCGTTGAACTCGCCGGAAGTGGTCGTCGGAGTTGCAGGTCCACGCAGAGGTCTGGACGCCGGCGGAAAAGGAATCGCGGCGCCTGGTTTACGTTCAAGGGAACTCGCCGGAAGTTGCTGCGATGTCGCGCGGCTGGGAGGTGGGCGACTAAAGGTTGCCGACGATTGGGACTCGGCCGTGGCTACGCATGAGGAGGAGGGGCTGTTGCTTCCTCACCGGGGTGGTCTGCTCGTGATGGCGGCGACACAGCATCTCGCGTTGGTCGCTTGCAAGGTGCCTCACGCGGCGGCGGGAGGGGTGGCTGGAACGCCGGCAGAAAGGTTGCGATTGGCTCGCCGGAGATGATGGCAGATCGTGATTCTCTCCCTCTCTTTGCTGCGGGTGATATGAGAGTGACGAGAGGATCAGACTTTATTCTTCTTCTGGCGAAATGTGAGCGAGAATTTGGGAGATCCTTCAGGCGCGATCGAGAGGGGAAGGAGATGATGTGAGGGTTCTGATTTCAAGGTCTGCGTGATCTGAAGGCTTGCAAGGTGAAATAAATGGGGATTTAGGGTAGAAATGGGTCATTTGGGCTAAGAAAATGGGCTAAAAGATTTGCAATGTATTGGGCCATTATTAATTAACTAAATTGGGTCAAGAAAATTAATCATTTTGGGCTGCGCGTACGGGTCACCGGGCCGAAGGTTCGGTTCATCTCTCGGGCTCGACTTTACGGTTCGGTTCTCGATCGACTTAGCCGATAATTTAGCTCGGTTCGCACGACAATTAAATTAATAACCGAATATTATTAATATATAATATACACAATTCAACATAAAATAATAATATTAATAATAATACAAATACGCACATTTTAATTATATAATAATAGCAGTTAGACATTTAAGCATTAAATTGGAAATTAAATAATATTTAGACAATTAGGCATTTAAACGCACTTTGGCAAATAAATCATATTAGACATTTAATAACATTCAGCATTCAATTTAATAACAATAAAGATAAATAATAATAATAATAATAATAATAATAAATAATGATAAATAATTGCCAAATATTTAATAGTCAAACGGGGCATTACAATCCCACTTTCAACATTCCCATGTTCTGAATGAAATCATTGAAAGGTCTGCATGATTGAATGGTTCTTGGTCTTCCTCCTTTTTTGTCTTCTGGCAGGGCAATGTCATTGAAGTCTCCTGCCATGAACTAGTACTGACCCCACTTGTTTTTAGCTGAGTTTAGGTAATCCCATTGCTCATGTCTTTCCTGCCCATTTGTACTGGCATATATAAAGACCACCCAACAAACTACTTCTTTAACCTCATCCCAAAATTCAACTTCAAAACGGAAGGAACTCTTATCCTAAATATATGTACATTGTTGTCCCAACAGAGATAGAGACCTCCACTTCTACCCACAAGTTCCACAGAGGTCCATTTCTCTTTGACACCTAAATTCCTACTAATTGTATTAAGGAAATTATTCTTTTTTTTTTTTTCGTTTCAGACAAAAACAGAAAAGTGGGGGTGATGGAGTCTCCATACCTCCTTGATCTGGGGAACTGTAGAGGGGCCACCCACACCTCTACAGTTCCACACCGCAACCTTCATTTATGACCTTGGGGCCATTTAGGGCTGGCCACCATCACCTCCTCTATTGCAGCTTTCAATTTCTTTTGTTGATGCCCTTCACTTGATACTTCTTCTATATCTTTGGGTTTGTTGTCAGTGATCTCCTCATTAGGCCTTTTGCCACTAGCTGATCTCAAGGTAGGGGAAGATTTAATTTGTATCCCTACCTGAGGCCTCCTCTTCTATCCTTTGGTTTTCTTGGCCTTGCTCATTTCCATTGTTTGGGTATTCGTGGTGTCACTCAAGATTATGTTGAGTTCTTGCATCTGAGACCTTTCTGGGGGATGGTGAGGTTCTGGTTCCATTGGTATTGGCTCTGTGTTAGGAGGTGAAGGTTTGGATAAGGGAGATTTGGGTAACGGTATCAAGGTTAGGGATGTGGTGTTCTGTTGGTTAATTGAGGTGGGTGTTTGAATGTTAGGTTGTGGGGGTTTTGCTGATTGGATAGGTAGGGGTGAGTTGAGATATCCAGTTAGATTTGAGGCACTTTGTTTACTGAAATTTGGTGAATGAGTATTGTTGTGGTGGGTGTTTGAGTTTGAAGGTGAGGAAGGTGATGGGTAAAAGATATCAGATGCCTTAAGCCATTCCCCAAAAAGGCCTTCCTTGAGCTTGGCAGCAGCTATATCAGCACTCCTTTTATCAAAAGTCCGATCTCCATGCCCGAAGCAGCCACAATAATAGCATATCCCAGCCAATCTTTCATATTTAAAGAGAACTTGTATCCTTTGGTCATCCAATTGTATGTTTGTGCATCTGAGTATTGGGAGATTCATGTCTAAGGCCACCAGGATTCTAACACATTTTCCTGCTAATACTCCTCCATTTGGGTCATTAACACCCAAGACTCTTTTAAAGACTTTGCCCAATTTCAGCCCCACTTCTGCTGATATCCAGTGACTTGGCAGATTCCATGCTTGAACCCCTATTTTGATCTCTTGAAAGCAGGGATGTACTGCGTTGATTCCTTCAAACCATTCTTTTAGGGATAGGAATTGATTTTCGAATGTCCAATTGCAACCCTTGCTCACTTTTAGTTTATCTTCATTACAAGAAAACATAAATTAAAAGAAATTTGGACTGAGCTCTCTAACTATCACCGATGATCTAATTTGCCACATTTGATTGATGGCTCTACGGATGCTTGCTAAATGCGCTTTCTTTTGTCCAATGATCTCACCATATAGACTTTTGCCACATTCCACCGCACTGTGTTGTATATCCTCTGAGAGAATAGGGACGTCATTGTTTTCTCGATCAGATAATTGAAAGGATTCCAACTTTACTGCAATATCTTCCTCCATACTGGTGGCTTGATTGCACAAGGAGCAGAGAAATCGAAGTGAAGATCTAAGAACCCTAGACCTGAAACAGACAAGAAAACCAACCCCCACAGAAACCCTAGATAATGGAACAACGAAGACTGTTAATTTGAAATATAACTCCTCACAAGGAGGATGGATTATACCTGAAGTGCTGGGGATCTTGTCTCCGCAGAGAGGATTTGAGCTCCCATTAGAGAGAGGTATGTACTCCGCAGAGAGTACATTCTTGTGATAAACGATGTACATTTAGCATATTTTAGAGCATTCTTGTTCTTCAAAATTCGTAATTTTATTTCATGTTATTTTAAAACTAGATATTTCAATATAAACGATGTACATTTATCATTTTATTAAGATAATATTAAGATTATTTAAAAATTTGTCATCACAACGATCTTATTATAATTTATTCTTATCTTTGAGATAACAAAATCTCCTTATAGACATTGAAATTTTAACATTTTATTATTTGATGTCTTTATTTATTTTTGGACAAAATTTCATGATAAATAAGATATTTAATTAATAAATCAAATCTTCCTTGCCCACTAAGTCAAATCCAATGATAAGAAAAAATTTTAAGATAAGGAAAAAGATTATATTAAATCATAAAGCACAGATCAAATACATGTCTTATTCTCTGGGACTCTCTGGAATCAATCCTCGTAGTCTCTGAAGTACGCTCAATGCAGGAGGAGAAGGTCCAGAAGAAGAAAAAAATGTGGTGGTTTTCTCTAATAAATAAAGATGTGATATCCAATCCTCTCAAATCAATCCAAAAATATGAACAACGGATTGATCAAATTCTATTGAGTCTGACTCATCATAGTGATCATTTATCAAAAAACGACTCTGGTTATCAACTGATTGAACAATCGGAAGCAATTTACTTACGATTCCTTTTTCGAATCCTACTGCAGTTGCACGAGCCCTTCCCGCATGCCAAGATATGATAGACTAAATAGGTCATATCCTTGTAACAACTGAAATTGTTTTGAATTTACTTTCATTCGAAGTTTAAAGCAAAATACAGAACCAGCTTTGGGTTGAAGCAAAAACGATCTTTTTGTACAATACATTCAAGCTACGTTCGTTGAAAATTAAAACGATATAGCGTTTGGTTCGACAAAAAGCTTTCAAGCTCTCAAGTCAATGTTATTCAAGTCCAAATCAAGATTCGAAGATCCCAATCCCAAATCCAAGAAGAGAAGAATAAGATAAGACATATAGAGATTTTATCCGCAATCGGTTGATCTATAAATAAAATCAAGTCGTACAAAAGTCTTATATTTTTCATAAAATATATTGTTACGAATTTGGCACGCCCAGTGGGACCCAAAGGAAAATTCGTTGATACAAGTTTGGCACGCCTAGTGGGACTTCATCAAATTCGTTATTACAAATTTGGCACGACTAGTGAGATTTCATCAAATTCGTTGTTACAAATTTGGCACGCCCAGTGGGACCCAAAGTAAAATAAAGACCATCTCTACCTCCTATCTCTTATCTTCAAATCAAGTTTTTAAATCATTGAATATGCATTTGGAAATATTTGAAGATGCATGAAGGCTTCATTGAAGAAAATCTATTAGGGGACAACTAAAGATGATGTTTTCTCAAGCCATGAAGCCTTCATCCGAATGGAGGAGAAACAAAAGCGGTCTTCCATATCTTCTCAACTTCCATGGGGGCAATTTGCATTAAGATCTCCATCCAATCAAATTCATCAAACTCCTTGATATAGGCTTAAACTATGTACAAATACAAATGCTCTTTGATATGAGCCAAAAATTATCTAGAAATTTAAATGCTCCTTGATATGAGTCAAAACTATTTACAAATCTCCTTGATATGAGCCAAAACTATCCAAAGCACCAACTCAAGTGCTTCTTGATATGAGCTTAAATGATATACAAATTCAAATGCTCCTGATAAAAGTCTAAATTATCTACAAATTCAAATACTATTTAATATAAGCCTAAACTATCTACAAATTCATATCTCATTCATATGAGCCTAAACTATCCAAAAAGCTGCTCGATATGAGAAAAAAACTATCTAAATCCACAAATTCAAATACTCATACGAGCCTAAACTATCTAGAATTCTCTTTAATATGAGGTTAAACTATCTTCAAGGCTCTCTGACAAGAATATAGAATTTCAACAAATGAAAACTCCTTGGCACGAGTATAAAATATCTAGTAATTCGAAGGCTTATCGACACGAGCGTAAAATGTCTACAAGGTTCATTGACTTGAGCATCAAATGTCCTTGAATGTCTAGGTACAAGAATCTATCTATAGTTGGATACCATAAAATATCGAAACTTTAATTTTTATTTTAAATTTAATAATATACGAAAAAAGAGAGATTGGTTGTGATGTGCCAGGGGAATAGGAAATTTTCCTTCGATTTATGTTGTGAAACAAAATTTTATGTAACAGGTACTCAATTATATTAATATTTGTACAATTAAAATACAAATAATTTACGTTTTTATTGTGAAATTATGTACGATTAATATGCAACAATAATAAATAACTAAGAAAGTGATAATTAATTCAAAAGGTGCCAGTATTTTTACACAAAATTTGCCAAAAAAGATATTTTTAATTATATTTTTAAAACTATATATGGATAAAATTTATATTAATTAAAATTTCATATATTTGATTCGTTTTTTAAACAAAACAAGTTTTATTGTATTGTGATTATATTTTATATTTATTAGAGTCAGTGTCTCACTTATATTATTTTTCAAGTGTTTAAATTCCTACAATTAATAATTTATAATTTATGTAGAAAAGTACTATTTCCTAACTTTATGAAATATAAAATTATTTTATTATAATTAATTATGATATTATTTTATATTTACTATTTTAAATAACATAATAACATTTACTTTTTTATATAATCTATTTAAATTGAGAAATAATATTTATATTATTTCTTAAAATTTTTCTTATGTAATAGTTAATATTTTTATCTAAAATTTATGGAAAAAGACAATAAAATAATTATTTTATGGTGTATTAATGAATTAGATTTTTATTATTTTATAAAACAATTCTCTCTCTCTCTCTCTCTCTCTCTCTCTCTCTCGTCGTACACACAATATCCGGACTCATAGACTGCTGCCCACTGGCGACTGTCGCCTTCCATTCTTATGTCGCCTCTGACATCCTTTCGGCCGCCACTAGAACCACCGCCGCCACCTTTATCGTCTTCCTCCGCCGCCGCCAGAGTCCGCCATAGATATTGTGCCCCCCCGTCGTAAACAACATAACCACCGCCACAACTAGCCCCTCCAACACCACAGCCATCAGTCTCGCCATAGAGGTACAAAGGTCCACAACCCGACATGGCCACGGCAGTCCCCGCCGCCGGTGAACACGCATCTCTGTAGGTGTCATCCTCCTCCTGCTCACTTCTCCAATGTCAGCCCACGCCATCACCATCTCCATCACACTGATATTTCTCTCCTCCGCCACCCGATTTGTCCAGGAATTGAATCAATTTCTCAGTTTAAAAATAAAAAAATCAAAAAAGCAAGCACCAAACCCCTAAATTGCAATTTCAGTAATTAACATGAAGATGATGTCCGATTTAAAGTTGCCATTTCCGGGATCGATCGGTGGTCGCGTACGAAAGCAACAGGGTGTTTTGTCGGTGAAGGACAGGGCCTGCAAATCGGGGCTGAATTTGATGAGATTGGGGGACTGACTTTTGAGAATTAGATAATTCCTAGGGGCTTATCAACAAATTAGTAGAAATTAGTTATATTTCAATTTAGTTAATGGGTTAAATTTATAATTTATTAAAAATTTTAAAGTGCACAATAGCAATAAGTAAATCGCACAATATTGATAAGTGAACCGAATCGATTGAACTTTTGTTTTAAATTAAAATAAATCGAACCGAAATATAAAAAAATAAAAATAAAAATTATATTTATTTACATAGTTCGATCGGTTTAGATATTTTGTGTATTTGGAAAAATAAAGCGAAATCGTATAGAAACAATCGAAACTTTAAAATTAAAACAGATAATCGAGTTTAAATATGTTAATCTGAATAAAAAAAAAATACTTTGGTCGGTTTGGGTTGTTGTGCGTTTGATAGCCATGAATGTGCAATTCATGTAACACTATTGTGCATGATTCACGCTTTTATTGTGCATTGTTAATCGGTCGAACTTTTATCCCAACCAAATTAAGACTTAACCGAATAGTTTGTTTTTTTATTCGGTCAGTTAACCCAATTAATTAAAATAATTGCAATATAATAGTATTGATATTACAACAACATAATTATTTTTTATAGTTATATTTAATAATTTATAATTTGTTTTTGGCTTGAAAAAAATTATTTTTAAAATATAATAAAAATAATATTATATAGTTTGTCGGTTCGATTATTCTGATTATTTAAATGTAATGTCGAAGTCGAGATACACGAAGTTTTAAAAGTAATAGCAAATTGAACCGGGGTATATAAATTCAGACAGAAAAAATTTAGTTACTTCAGCTTCGATCGCTAATGAGCAGTCTGACGGACATTAATTTGCAATCCGTCTAACACTAACTTGCATTGTTTAGGTTGATATTGTGCGTCTGAACCAACCGACCTTTTGTGCAAATCAAACTGGAACAGACCCAAAATACTTGGTTTATTTGTTCAGCAATTACCCTAATTATTCTAATTAATTTATTTTTAATTATAAAAAATATATTTAATATTTGAATAATTTGACAAATTGTTTTATATTATTTTGATTGAATACATAATATATGAAATATCAAAATTAGTGATGTGCATTCCTACAAACATTAATGTACATTCATTCTAACATTATTGTGCAATTATTACTTTATTCATATACTAAAAAACATATTTATTATTTATCATTTCTATTTAATATTCTATATTATTGTATGCTGAAAAATAGTAATATATATAGATCAAATTATTTATATAAAAAAATAATATATATTTTGTGTAANAGTGGAGTAGTTTTATATGCCATGTTATTTTTTTTTTTGCCAAAACGATAGAGATCACATATATATACCAACCGGGAACAAAGTTCGACTACAATAGGCAATATCCTACTCGAAGAAAGAAAAACTAAGAGGTACTACATAAAGTACCTAGAACCTCAACAAGGAACAAAACCAAAATTACATATCATGTATTAAAATTGCATATCATATAGAAAATAATGTGGTTTTAATTTATCATTATTGTTTAATTATTAATTTTTAATAAATTAAAGAATTGCCCTACGACCTAAATTGTAATATAGCTAAAAATTTTAAAATTACACATAAGCCCTTGATATTTACCTAATTCTCAAAATGAGGCCCACTATTCATAAAGCATCATCACAGTTGATTACTAGCCAATGTCCGCTGGAGCACCTGAAACTACCGTCATCAGTACCACCCGCAGGCGAGTGTTGGGGTTGGAAAATTTAACTGTTGTACGAACAATTACAGTGTGGATAAGCCCGGCGGACATTGGCACCTGAAACTGCCGTCATCAGCACCTGAAATTGTCGTCATCATTTTTTAAAAATAATTTTAAAAAATTTGACTGTGATTTTTGGATAAGCCCAGTAACATTTCTTTAAAAATCAACGGGGCGTTACAGTGTGGTATGAGAGCAAGTCTACGTTTATGTAGACTGCTTATGAAAAATGTTTGTAAATTGTAAAATGACCACTCCTCTTCGTCATGCCACACCAGCTCAAGGGATGTGTTTATGAGATAAATGGTTTATTTCTTTTGTTATTATTTGAAGCTTAAGGATTTACCCTCCGAGTTTAAGGACTTAAACTCTAGTCGTGATCGAGTTGAGTTCTGGATTTAGAAGCTTCTCGATATAAGTTTCAGTATACTGTTCTCGAGCGAGGGCACTCGCAAGATATTTAATGGTTGTGTATATGAATTTTGCCTGAGAGTGGGCATTTCTAGAGAGTGGGCATTTGAGCTTCCGCTGTCGAGTGAGAATCGAGATGTCATGAATCTCCGACGGTAAATTGTGTGTTTAGCCTCACCATGTTGAGTTAAGTGCTGAGATTTTTCGTAACTGATAACATGCTGAGATTGCTTACTTTCAAAGGTTACATTTCATTTTAAGTCCTTAAGAATTGCTATATGTGCAAGAGAAGAGAAGGAAGATAATAGAGTATGTTGTGTTTGAATTTTGTTGTGACCTTATTGTGTGCTTTTATACTGTTTAAGTTGCCTTGTTCAGAGTTTAATTAGTATTGAGTGTGACTTATACGGTTTGAATTTTTTGCTTTGGGATAAGAAAGATAAGAAGAGACTTGAGGTGATTTATGTGATTGTTTGTATCTTTCCTTGACATATCTTTTAGGTCGAGGTTGTTGATATGGTTATCCGGTTGATTAATGCTTGAGAAATTTGGCTACTTTTTTTATTCATTACTGCTAAACCCTTCATGTTATAGTCGATTTAAAGAGCTCATATAAATTTTTAATTGATAAAAAGACATGCTTTAACTTACATGAAATGAAGAAAAGAATGATGTATAGATTCATGTCTTGTTGTGATGATTATGCCTCGAAATTTGCCCTAGCATATGTGGTTAAAAAAGAAAATCTGAAAATTTTTGTGGCGAATCTTGTGTATGTGGAGGTGATTCGTATGAAATTTCAGCTTAATACGAATTGAAATGAATGTTGTAGAAAATTCTGATTGAAGGCCTGCCTGAGGTGAAATTCGGTCTAGTATTATGACTTGTTGCTTTGATTTTCCCCATCCATGGTTAGCCTAATAACTTGGAAATCTTATGGTCATTCCTTGTGTAAGCTAAAAGTATTTTTGTTAAATTTCAGCCTCAGTTGATTTGTATATTATGCTATAGAAATTATTTAACCGAAGTCATGTCAGTCACTTTGAATGCTGTGAATGAAGTGCTAATTTTAATGATTATATTTCGTCCTATGATCATGCTTTTGACTTGACATTTTTATAGCTGATATGTGAATATGTTAAGAGTATGTATATGAATTTTCAACTCAATTGAATTGTGTTTAGTTCTATGGAAAATGTAGAGTGATAGCATGTATGATTGACTTGAATTTCGAATTTGCCAAGTCTAGACTGGTGCTTTTGACTCAAATTTTTTGTGGCTATGTATTGTATAAGTTTTGTTTACTCCTGTCAAGTTTCAGCCTTATATGATGTATGGAGAATTAATTTAGAATTTTTGAAATGAAGGGTGCATAATGTGATTTTCGGTCTTTTTAATTATGTGGTTAAATCATGTGTGTTTATGGCATCTGTGAACCTGGTTTTGAGGTGTTTATGTACCTGAGTAGTGGCTGGTCTGGGTAACAGAAAAATGAGTATTCCCAGTCATAGAATGTGATATGGGAAGCCGGGTCAAGCCGAGAGAAGTTAGAAGTTTATGTGCTTTTATCTGCTTATTTGTTTTGACCGAGTTATATGCCCTTACATGCTATACTTGTTTTGCATGGTTTAATTAATTGTTTTGCATGGTTTAACTTGAATTGTTGGTATTATATTATTGACTGGAAACCTTTGGAAGAACCATGAAAAACCCTTGTTTTGGTTGCCTTGAATTTTGTTGTGAACCTTGAGTTAGACTTTTCTTGTCGGAACCTTGAGCCGAAAGCTGGCCCTGGCCGGGTGTAGTCACGCGAAGTGCTGGCCGAGCATGCATGCCCATGCTGAGAGACGCGAGGCTAGCGCGCAGCCGACCGTCGACTCGCACGTGAGCTGGAGCTGCCATCACCGAACGCACAAACTTCCCAGGACAACGGGTGTGGCTAAACCTCGACCTTGCAGTTGGTCTCTGAGCAGATGCACACGCGCGTCAAAGCGCCCAGCATATGCAGCGCCAGTAAGCGTGCCGCCTCTCGGGTGACAGTGCACTAAACCCTGAACCATCGATTCTCTTCTGGACTGTTCGACCAGTTTTCCTTGCGAACTATATTGTTAGCCTCTTGAACCCTTTCTTCCAAGCCTTGAACCGAGAGCTCCAAGTTCCACTATAATCATTTTACGAACTTCTTAATCAATGGATTTCGATTAAGTGAGAGTTGTCGATAAGTTTCCTATGAAAAATGCGAGAGTTCTCGAGTTGGCAAGTAAGAGGTTTCGTAGTGATATCGGGCAAATCCTTAAGTTTCGAGTAGCGACTATGTCTGTTTCGTGAGGATTGAGACTGTGAAGAGTGAGAGTATCGTAGAGTTAGACAACTGCATGGGGGCACCGTGCCGACTATTTCTAACGGAGACGCACTGGTTGTGGTGAGATAGTAAGCAAGGTTTTAGCGTGACTCAAGCACGAGACTGAAGCTTGGTATTACGTATCAAACCCAAATGGTTGTATAGTCGGAGCAGGCTATCGATACACGGTAGACCGATT